GCCGCAAGAATGCAATTACACTCTTTCCGTCCAGAATGACTCGCAACATAACTCTGATTCCCTACAATGTCCGCGCACTTGAGCTATGTCGCCATAGATCAACGCTGTTCAATTATACCCGTCGTCATCTTACAGTATCGTCGTCTCATTACGTTCATATTGAGCAGTACCAGTTTGCTACCATGGACGATGTTCCCCAGTATTCGATATCGACTGCAGAGCATCTGTCAAAGTCGTTGCATGGAGTCTCCACGAAAAGTGACACGCGCCACTAAGACAGGCTAATACCAAATCTTGTTGCTTGCTGATCGTTGAAGATGTAGATTCGTGCACAGAAACTTTGCGATAGCTATGAGCTGTTTCGCTGAAGGCTCTCATGCCGTCGCACGTCATTCCATCAACACCCAGGTTTCCCTTATCTAAATCTCGTGGCAGTGGATCCATAGTGGACTTCAACGTACATCTCGCATCCCACGTGGCTACTGGTCATCGTCGCTAGCAGCAGCTCTCTATATAACCCACCTCTCTTCACTCACGCCTCCTCCATCCTCTCTTATTCATGATAGTTACAGTTCTCTTTCACTCATCACTATCATATCATTCAATTCCGCGGGAAGTCCCCTGTATTCGCCTGGCATATCTTTCCCCTCTGGACGGTAAGGTAAGACAACATTCAGGCGGATACATCATGGTCAAACATGGATACATTGCAGCAGCAACCCCCGGCCAAGAGAATACAATGGTCTCCGACGGAAAACGAATGCGAATTCTTTGGACCGATGGCGACGGTAATGGCGACTCCAACAAAGCCTTCGTCACACGCTCCAAGACTACAGTACGCGGTCATCCGACCTGGAAGATGTACATGGGGAAGGTACCACGTCCAATTATCTATGGCAGAAGGGAGCCCCCAAGGTACGTATATCTCGACGACAAAGCCTGCTATGCAGTCTACAACTCCCAAACATATACCGCGAAGGAGCTCAGCACATTTTGGCCTTACGATTTTGACAATCTGGGCAACATCAAAGCCAGCAGGCCGAATCGTGGCCGGCCAGCATATCTCGAAAACTCTACAACGGTATTCGCCAGGGGTCCACTTCGTCGCAGCAGAACGGCCGAATATGAGTTCTGTGGTCGCCCCTCCTCGCCAGAATGTACCCCTGACTGGCGAGTGAAGAGAGCAGCAGAGGAAGCGCAAGCAAAGAGAATCGAGGCTAGCACCCAAATTTCGCTCAGCGGTACCATGCCGGCTATGCTCAAGCCTAGTCCCTACGTCCCTGGTCCTATAGACGGTAATATCAAGCCACTGAGCATCACCGACAGGGCTGTCCAGGGCTCACCGTACTTCGACATCCCAGCAGCAGCCATGCGGAAGCGACCTAGACCTATTCCCGGTGACATGGCTGCAGTATATGCAGGTTTCACTACTAATCGGAACGCTGAGGCCGCTGGGATTAGCGCTGGACCAGAGGCGAAGAAGGTCAAAGTCAAGCAAGGGGCGGACATTCAGAATGAGCTGCTGGCGATGACAGACAAGCTAGACAGCTCTGAGTAAGGTCGACGGCGCAAAAGCGTTCCTAAAAAGTTTTTGTTTGTTTGCTGTTCTGGGCGTTGACAAGATGGTCGGGCGTTCATTGACGTCTTGGAGGACGACTGGGCACTTTTGGCGAAAAGTTAGCAGGGAGGAGGTAGTTGATTAACGGCAATCCAATCATTGTCAATTTCACAACACCATTGTTTGCAACTTCGATGATGATGGTCGCGAAGGCATTCAAGCTCTGTCTTCAGCTATCTTCTCCAAGACGTCCACGGGTGCGGTGGTGCGTGACGTCACGCGTTCGCGCTAAGTATTGCTGCAGGCTGGTGCCGTCTTCGCGGCTTCCACTCCACCCGACTTGCACCAAACAGCACAACACGAAACCGGACTGCATGCAGGGCCTCGCGAAGAAGATATCCCGGGATCCCGGCCGATGTGTCGTTAATGATGTTGGCGAATGAGACCCACTGATTCGGCTGAGACCTTTTGGCGCCAACAAGAACTCATCTGCCCACCTGGCATGTCTGACTCACAATGCGTGGTCACAAGCTTTGTGGGAAGCCAGAACATTCCAGTGGCAGCGAGCCGGGTCTTGCTTGAACAACAATGGTCACTGAGACAAGCCCGGGATGACATATGTCTCTGAGCCACGCTGTTCGTGCTGAGAGTGGCTGTGGAGGACAGTGAGGGCTCAAGGTTCGTCTGCATACTTAAATCATCTACTTTCTCAAAGCTGAATTCTTGTTGCATAATCCAGCTTGTACCTAAAATAATCTCCGACCCAGCACCTCTCTATTTGTACAGACGCGCAAAAGTCCGACAGGTAAGCGATCTTTACGAATTCGTGGGTGCTTTATTGGGAGATGTGACCCTTTCGTGCGCTAAAAGCAACGCGTCCACTGTCTGATATCTTGACTGACATCCTTCCAGTTTCATCATTCGCCACCTGCTTTGGCTCCAAATGCCGACTCTCAATGCGGGTTATCACATGGCGACCCTCAAACCACCCGAAACATTAGGAAGACTACTCGAAGCTACCTTCAAAACAGCCCGAGTTCATCATTACACCGAGCCTTTGGGTCTCCGACAACCCTCTGTAGGTAACAAAGGCGCAATCAAACGAGGACGCCCTAGATACGAGGGCATAGCCAGCGACCTCAACAAAGCGACTAAAGAGATTGTGGATCAAATCGTCGACACGTACCTCTCCGTGGGAGATTTATGTGAGACGATATGTTCACAGCCTACCTTTCTCGATGCGAGCATAGAGCCCCTCCTGAAGGAGCATGGTCCCTTGTTATGGAACCACAATAGTTCCTTTAAGACATGCGCCAACGACATCGACGAACTGAACCAGGACTATGTTCGCCCCGATTACCTCTTGTACGAAGACGATCAAGATCGCGTCAAGTCAGTATTGTAACAATGGGTCTGAGAGCTAGCTAACGTATTCCTCGCAGCATCAAAACGCTCGTGTCTTGCTGGATCCTTCAGCGTGCATGCGTGAGAATTCGGGATCGTCCTTACCAAGAAACCGAACTCTTCTATATGGCATGCGTTCTGTTGTTTATACAAAGAACGCATCGTGAGATCAGTCTCCGGGGACTGAATAGATCAGCATATTGACTTTTCTGGGTGTAGGATTCAATTAGGGCTTTCGCGCATGTTCCATCTCTATTATTGTAGGTTACACAAGGGTCAGGAGTTTGTTGATCTGCTTCTTCGTTGGAAGAAGACCCGTTAATGGCGTTACGGAAGCAACTGGATATTCTCAACCTATTCTTTCTACTCGATCGAGTCGACACTGCACTTTGACAGACGTCCGAACTGTCCCCCGGGCCGATCTTCAATAGGGATCGGAACAGACGACCCCTGCCTTGATCTACAGCTGTCGGAACGTCGGCTAAGGCACGCCATAGACCAGGTAGTGCGGCTCCTGGACTCCTAATTTCTTCCCGGCCCCTGTGGCGTGCGCCACCGACTGAATGGGAACGTTCGCGGTGCGTTCCGCCGCAAGAAAGGGGCGTAAGGGGTCGCTAGTTACTGCCAGGTCCTTCACCGGCAGGATTAAGATGCTGGTAGCAATGCGGCGCGGTTGCTTCTAGACCTAAATCGAGTTAGCGTCAGTGTTCGTGTATTAGCCACTAGTTAGCATGCAGTGCAGGTGCGTGCACGCTCCCAGGGAGTAGAAGCGGCGCAAAATCCCCAAGGCTTCACCGATAACTGTACTCAACGCTTTCTCTCAGTGTCGATCACTCGCTGACGGGTGATTCGGACTCATACCTGCATGGTCACGTGCCATGCAGTCTCGGCTCGACAAGCCAAAAACCATCAGTCTACGCATGAGCACTATTGCAGCCACCCGTTGAATCACGCCGTTTACCTTCCTTTGCTTTTCTTTCCCCAGAGGTTCGGCCTCGTCAGGGCCGTTGCCTACGCTGCGTAAGTGTCATCCGCAACGTCAGTCTGGGCAGCTCTTTATTTCCGATGCCAGGCGGACTCATTGAGAGCGATAAGTTCTTGCTGTGACGCAATCTCTGAAACATTAGTGTGGCCAAGCTTTGCTTCCGCTTATTTCCCACAAAATACGTATGATTCCCTTCAAGATATGGCTGACTTACAGCCTATGGGATCCCGAACGCACGGCCCGCCGCCACGGCTTTGCTACACCCGTCTGATAAGGCAGTGGGTGATCAGCAATGATTCGCTGGGGAACGAGCACCGCTCCCGTTAGAGAACAACAGGGAATCTGGAGTCGATAGGACGTAATCTCCGCTCCGCTCGAATGCCGCGAGGGACGCTCTCAGACCAGATCTTGGCCTGTTGCCTAACGTACTGAGACGTCGTGCAGCTCAACATCATCTCAACATCATTTCAGCCAATGAGTTGACTTCGTGGAGAGCTATGAAGGTCCTTCGTCGCCGATCGTGTACACAATCTGGCACGAGACGACGTTCCCCGAAATTACATCCTCAGATGAGGAGCTGCGAGTGTGATCCGAGCTTTTTCACTGGTAGAATTACTGCAGCTGTTCTGGCAAAGCGTACCTTTATTCCTGGAAACGACCAGGGAGATGAGTCATAGTATGTGAGGAGTAGGTTCTTAGCCAGGTATGAATCCTTCCGGTGATTCGGCGAAATAGTCCTGCGCTTGGCTGCCGTAGTCATCATCTTTCTGCGTGCGGAAGATACTCTGGCGTGTAGAAGTTGCTGTCTTTTTTATAAGCAAAGCATGAGGATGCTCTCTCTGCATACCACCTGGAAAGCCTCACAGCACGGCACTGGAGACCAACCCCGTCACTGTCTGGTAGCCTCTGTATTGCGTTTACCGTATCCATCACATCGAAGCAATCACTTTCAGACGCCATCAACGCCCGTAGTCTCTACGACCTTGATTCTACTTCGAAGGTTCGCACAATGTCTGCTATGTATCCTCGAAAAAGGAAGCTATTGATTGAATCATGAAGCTAACGAAAACAGAACTCACTGATCCTGGGGTTATGCCACCAGGTGATGATTCCCTGAGCTTGATCGAGGAATGTACCAAGGGGGGAATACACGCTGTTGTATATCTGTCACGTCTTGGGCTAATCAATCTAGCAAAGGATGCTAGGAAGTGCGGCAAGCCAGACTTCAAATCAGTACCTGAAGTTCAACGCTTCTGGGATTCAACGAAGCCTATTGTCGAGTCTATTGCGACGCAATACAAGACAAGAAACGCTATGCGCGATGCTCTCCGAGATCGGCGCATCTGTCTGGAAGAAATCTCAAGAGATTGTGTAAATAAGTTTGGCCATCAGGTCTGGAACAATGGCATTGAAGAGCCTTTCGTCACGCGCGTCGATACTCCGAAGAGACTCAGCGAGAAGTCCAAATCCAAAGAGACCTTCAGAGTCCAGAAGTCTTCGAAAGTCAAGACTCGTACCAAGATTGCAGAGAGCACGTATCCAAGGCATCTGATCTACGGAGATCGAAGTGACCAAGACAAGTAAGTTAGTCCACAGACAATATGATCCTCAAGCACGAGGGACTAAAACAACACGACATAGAATACGATTGCAAGTATCTGCGTGGATCGTCCAGCGCGCCTGTCGAAAAGTCGAAGCCGGGGGGAAAAAGAACCCTTACAAAGCACGCGTTAAGGCGTCACGGAGACCGTCGAGCTTTGTGGCAGCAGTCCGCGTGAATCGCGATGAAACCCCTAGCAGTCCCAACTTGTCATCAAATGATGAGACTGAGGAATTGGGGAAAGCGTCTACGAGACCTTCGAGCTTCGTGGCAGCAGTCCGCGGGAATCGCGACGAGCCTCCTTGTAATACCAGATTGTCATCAAATGACGATATCGATGAATTGGACTTTGACTATTGGGCTGGCACTTCAGGGAAAACCAAACCGACAGAACAAGTCGATACTGTTCTCCGACGTCAACTGCAATCATCAGGAGTATTTCAAGATCAAGTTCAAACTCCTGCACAACGATCCATTACCAAACGCGTAGCGGTTGTGGTATCCCCAAGGAAGCCCGGGAGTTCCAAAACCACAAGAACGGTGAAGAGGAAGCCGCAGCGAAGTGAACTGGTAGGGATAAAGAACACAGCCGCACGGACTGTACGACTCAACGCGAAGAAGGCGCCAACTATGATACAACCAGTATCGAGCTCGCGCCGTACGAAACAACCTCAGACAACCCTCCGTCCTGTAACGCCAGCGATAGTCCACGATCAAGTCAGGAATGAGAATGCCATTCAAAGTCTGGGCTCGATGGCAAACCAGCCGCTTCTTGATCGCAGAGAGCTGGGAATCCAGCTACTTGTTCTTCTCGAATCACAGGACGCTGGACGCCATGAGATCGCACACATGCAGAACACTATGGAGCGCATCAACAGTATAGCTGCGCAAAACTCCGAAAAGCTCAAAAATGCGCTGGACAGTGAGTACGAAAAGTGTAAAAGGGCTCTGGACAGATGGCTAGTATGCATGAGAGCACTCGTCGAGTTTCGTAGGAGAACCGGACTCTCGGGCGATGGGCCCAGCATATTGGCCGGCTTCGAAAAGCTTCCACTGGAGAAAAGGAAAGGGCAAAGACCGTACTTGGAGACGTGCCGAGATGTTCGTACATGGGTGAGAGATGGCATGACGCTCATCGTGTTCTGCAAAGAAGTGGGTTCCATACTCTTGAAGATGGCTAGCTTTGCTCCTTTGAGTATGAGGTTGGATGAACTTCTTAAGATTCTGATACCTTTCACCGCGGGCCTGATGGGATGTTTCCTTTCTACGCCTCCCAATCCCTGATACCCAAAAGGGTTGTCAACACATTGTCTCGGTCTGTATGGGCGGTATGTTGCGGCAGCTCGGTTTAGAGGGCTATAGAGGATTGGTAATATATGCGTCGATACTGTTTTGTAAGATTATTACTACACCACACTTCGTACTTTGAAGCAATGCTCGTAGCCGCCCGTGACGACACCTGCAGTATTGACAATCTTTGGATATCTCCAACCGTCCAACGACTGCCTCACTTCGCTTGAACCGATGTTCAGTTGTTCCAGTATCTCGATGACGGCAGCATACAAAACATCAAGGTTGCCGTCTTCAACCTTGACAGCGATTCCGACAGCCCCATGATTCATTCCAGCCAGATCAGCGTCGGGTGAAGCACGAACTGCTACTGCATAACAGGCATCTGCTCCGATTTTGCCAACGACTTGTCCGGTATAAGGCGTCATGAGCGCTGTGTCGAAGCGATCTTCGCCAGCCACCAGTCCGGGATAGCTGGCCATGCACTTGTGGATCCGAGCTAGATGTCGTGTTCTCTGATCGAGTGTCTCTTTCGAGGGACCGTCGGAAAGGTCAGCGGCATCCGCAATCCTTGCAAACATGAGCGCGAGGTTCGGAAGAGGCATCGCCGGCGTAGGGAGGTTGCATCCGTCGACAGTCCATAGCACCTCTTTCTTCGTGAGTCCGCTTACATCTTCAACAGCTCGATACACGCGCTGCTGCATGGGATGCTCATGTAAGTAGTAGTCGTGAGTTGTCACATCCAGACACACCGCACCTGCTACCATACCGACGTGTTTTCCGGAGCAATTGTTGTAGATAGCAGTCGGTGTAAAATCTTCTTTGATCCACGCGCGATTGACAGCAGCGTTCTGAGCTGGGTGTCCACCACACGTAAGGACCTCCTCTTCCTCTCCCGTCTTCTTGAGCATTGCTTGTGCTCGTTCGATATGTCGAGGTTCACTACTATGCGAAGCACACATGAGCGCTACATCTGCGTCATCGTAATCGAACCTCTCCGCAGCGCCTGTTTCCAAGATCGCAAGGGTCTGGATTGGTTTCGTAGATGATCGCGCAAGGGTCATTCTTTGGTAGTCGCCAACGGTGTATAGTAGTTTTCCAGATGCGTCGACAATGGCCGCGTGGACGTTGTGTCGATTCTCGATGATGCCACCGCGGTAGCTGAGGACTACATCATGCTCAGACAAAGTATGCGCTCCACTCTTGATAGCAGCGCTTTCCGTCAAGGAATCTGTCGTAGCTTGTAGCTTTGCGTTCGTGTCCTCCGTGGCATGTACCATGACTTGGCTGAGTGCGCTATGTTCTGCGCGGATCGACCGGGACAGGAGACGCGAAGATCCGAGATACTGTGCTGGTGCCTTCGTTCGTTCTAGAGCTTGAGAGGAGGACTGCGTCAAGGTTAAGGCCCAATTATGGAAGACATGAATGAAGCGCGAGGAAATATTGTTAGTGCAAGACGCTGTCGCGTCCGGCGTACACCTGCCTTTCAATGTCTAGCGCGAGTCTCTCCATTACCTAACCAATGTCCAATTGAGCATGTCATCGCGTATGGAGGGCTAGAGAGGCAGCGCATTTTCATGGGAACTGCTTGAGATGCGCCCTACACGTGGCCGATAAGGCGCGCGATAAGGTACCGAATGGGCCTGCGAATCCGGAACGGGCTATGGCGGCGTCGCTGACACTTTGCGCTTGTTGTCGCTGAGCAAACCACGAGGATTTATTGGGCATTATCTGACGCTCCCTACCCGATAATTGTAGGCGACTGACGTTGGAGGTTGGGATGGAACCAGAAGAAGTGAGACTGTGCCTCGGGAAGGAGCGCGACACGCTAAAACACTAGCGTGTTTGCCTCCGGGGAGGCGTGCTTCTTCTGAACGTGTACACAGCAGGCTTCACGGAAAAGGCAGTACGCGACGGCATGTTTGAAGTTGAAGAAAGTTTTGATAAGTTTTTCGCTAAAAGTATATACATCTAGATGAAGAGAAGGGAATATTGGAGCTCCTGCGCAGCAAGAACTGGTGACGTCACCGTCTATACGCTGAAGCTTACGGCAGGAGACTTCCAGTTCACGAACTCTGGGCCGATTTTCTTGAGGTCGGTTACACCAATGTTCGCCGCGTCGTTGATGAGCTCGTACTTGAGCATCTCTGTCGCCCTTGCGACACCCTCAGCGCCGTAGATGTTGGCGTACATGAAGGGCCTTCCGAGACCGACAGCCTTGACACCGAGAGAGAGGAGCTTGAGAACGTCAGTACCGTAGCGGATACCTCCATCAGCGTAAACCTCGATTTGTTGGAAGATGTCGGGGTCCTCGTTGTAGATCTCTAGGGCGACTTCTAGGGATGACGGCGAAGTGTCGGTTTGACGGCCGCCGTGGTTGGAGAGGAAGATCGCCTTTACACCTTGCTTGACAGCTTCGCGAGCGTCTTCGACGGTCTGGATACCCTTGGGGATGATGGGTAGGGAGGTCATGTTGGACAGCTGCTGGTACAGATCCCAAGTCAGGAGACTCAGGTTAACGTCGGCGGAACCGACACCGTAGCGGGCAGCACGGTGCCTGACACCATCACCGGGAGAGTCGACGGTCAGGACAATGGCCTTCGCACCAAGATCCTCAATCCTCTTGAAGAGGACCTGGGTGTCGTTCATGTCACCGTCAAGGTAGACTTGTTGGAACAAGACTTGCTCTGAGCCGTTGGGACGAGCAGCGTAGATGTCTTCCAAGCTCTTGGACGAGTAGAGCGAGGTCATGTAGAGGATGTCGCCTTCGCCGGCACCCTTAACGAGGCCAAGCTCACCATCCTCGTTGGCATATCCACCGCGCGCACATGGGGAGATGAAGAAGGGTGCTGAGAAGTTGTGGCCGAGGATAGTTGTGGGCATGGAAGCCTGGATGTTGGTGATGTCGCGGAGGACGCGGGGCCTCAATCGGTAGCGCGAGAAGACTTCGAGGTTGTTGCGGTATGACCATTCGCCAGCCGCTCCGTTGCGGTAGTATGTGTAGGCGGAGGTGTTCATGTGCTGGCGGCCGACCCATTGGAAGTCTGGCAGGCCGACCAAAGACTTAAGAGGAGGCAGGGTGTCATTAGCGACGAATCCAGCCAATTGGTCGTCGATACCAGTATCGGGTTCGTTGAGGAAAGGGCGTGCTGCCAGAGCGCAAGTAGCGAAAGCAAGGAGTGAGTAACGCATGTTGAGCGAGTACTGTTGGGGTATCTAAGAGCAGGAAAGATCGACTTTGGGTGAAAGATGGGTTGGTAGGAGATCCCAAGACTCTTATACCTCCTCAGTCAAGCCTGGGAGACATGGGACGGGCAGAGCTGTGCCTACTCGGCATGCAAGTCACTCTGGGCACAAGATCTTGCATGCCATCTAACCCTTGCCTGCACACCATCTGTGCCAAACTGGACTTTACATGGCGCTACTTGCCAACTTGGGTTTCAAAACCATTTGCGTCATCGGAGAAGGGCCGTGAAGTCCCTTCATCTGATAAACAATCCTGTCAAAACGTCTAAAGTGGAGCATCACTACGTCCCGCTGTGTCGCCAAGCGCTCCAGAGGCGGTCGCGACTGGGTTGTTGTTTAGCATGAATTGGACGCACAGGGCACCGAAGCTGCATCGGACCGATGTGGTTCATGTCAGGATTGTCAGTCCAGGCACGCGGGTGACCCACTGCGGAATTTCGCATCAATC